ATTGATAGGAGTGTAAAATTTGCCCGCTGCCTTAAGCTTGCCCGCGGCCCGGGGTAGGCCCAGCCTGACCCGTTGACAATGTGAATATTCACATTGACATGTTAACATGCACATTGATAGGAATGCAGAATTGGCCCGTGGGCTGCCTGAAGCCTGCCCACAGCCTGGGGTAAGCTCGTTTGGGTCTGGACCTGAGCATGTCCGAGACCCTAGGCTAGGGCCTAGGCTATCACTTTGAAGCCTGGCCCGGCCCATCCCATCAGCCCGTTTAAGGCCCATTCAAGGCTCGGTCCGAGGCCCAGCCCGCCCAAGGCGCAATGTCTTTTTTTGTAAAAAATAATAAAATTTTGGTAGAAAAAATTAAAAAGAATTAAAAAAAATGGCCAGGCCCGCCCAAGCCCAACCTAAGCTCGTGGCTAGGCCCAGGCCCACCGCCCCGACCCGAGGCTCGATCTATCGGCCCATCCAAAGCCCGAATACCCTTGTGCCACGGCTAGGGTCTGGGCCTAATTTTTTTGCCCGTGGGCTGGGCCGAGCCGGGCCGAATTTTTTCGGACACCCACGAGACTCGATGTAGGCCGGCCTAAGCCTCTACGCATTGATGATATGAACGTTCACATTGACGATGTGAACATTCACATTATGGGTATTTTGGTAATTATGTCTCCCATAGGACTTATTGAAACATAAGAAAATAATGTGGACTAAATAGAATATAAGTAGATGAAAATGGTATTTTGGTTTTCTTACCTCAAATAGGACTTAATGGAATAGTCAAAAAGAATGGAGGCTGCCCGCGGCTCAGGAAAGGCTCGTTTAAGCCCGGGCTCGAGCCTAGTCCGAGACCCTAGGCTAGGGCCTGGGCCATCACTTTGAAACCCAGCCTGGCCCATCGGCTCGGTTAAGGTCCATTCAAGGCTCGGTCCGAGGCCCGGCCCGCGCCGAGGCCTAGTGTATTTTTTTGTGAAAAATAATAAAATTTTTGTAGAAAAAATTAAAAAGAATTAAAAAAAAATAGTCAGGCCCGCCCAAGCCCGATCCAAGCCTAAGGCTAGGCCCATCGGCCCGACCCGAGGCTCGACCCACCAGCTCGAGCCCGGACCCAAACGAGCTTGCCCCGGGCCGTGGGCAAGCTTCGGGCAGTCCACAGGCCGCAAGCCAATTCTACATTCATATCAATGTGCATATTAACATATCAATGTGAATATTCACATTGTCAACGGGCCGGGCCGGGCCTACCCCGGGCCGCGGGCAAGCTTCGGGCAGCGGGCAAATTTTACACTCCTATCAATGTTAATGTTAACATATCAATGTAAATATTTACAATGTCACAGGTCGGGCTGCGGTCAGGCTTCGGGCCGCCCATGGGCTGCGGGCTAATTTTATACTCTTATCAATGTGAATGTTAACATGTTAATGTGAATATTCACATTGTCAACGGGCCGGGTCGAGCCCGCTCTAGGCCGCTGGCCAATTTTATACTCTTATCAATGTGAATGTTAACATGTCAATGTGAATATTCACATTGTTAAAAGGCTGGGCCGGGCCCACCCCGGGCCCCCCACGGGCAGTGGGCAGGTTTCGGGCAGCCACGGGGCACGGGCTAATTTTACACTCCTATCAATGTGAATGTTAACATGTCAATGTAAATATTCACATTGTCAACGGGCCGAGCCGGACCGGGCACGCCCCGGGCCGCGGGGGGACTTTTGGCCGCCCATGGCCCACGGGCCAATTTTATACTCTTATTAATGTGAATGTTAACATGTCAATGTGAATATTCACATTGTCAACGGGCTAGACCGGGCCCACTCGGGCCGCCCATGGGCCTCCGGCGGGTTTCGCACTGCCACGGGACACGGGCCAATTTTACACTCCTATTAATGTGAATGTTAACATGTTAATGTGAATATTCACATTGTCAACGGGGCGGGCCCGCCCCGGCTCCCGGGCGGGTTTCGGGCTGCCCATGGGCCAATTTTACATTCCTACCAATGTGAATTTTAAAATATGAATATTCACATCATAAATTCCTAACCGTTCAAAAAATATTTATAAGGGTATCAAAATTAAATATAAGGGCATAAGTGTGTAAGAAAATAGTGTAAATCAAGAAAAAAAACTTTATGGAATAAAACTATACATATATGGGACTAAATGGGTTAAAAAATTCTTTTATGTATTTCTTGGATTAAAATACTTCTAAATGAGATTTATCAATAAAAATTTCTAATTTAAATGGGTCATGAGCGCCCAAATTCGAGTCTAATATCCGGCTTAATTTCCAACATAGGCTAATATAGTTTGGCTAAACAATTAGCTAAAAAATGATGTGACCACCAACATTATTTATTTACTAGTTGGAGATTGATAATAACTAAAGACATATCAAAGTTACGTTCAATGCACGGTGATAATAATAAACCACCAACCGACCATTATCATTCAACCACTTCACGGCACATCATACATTACATGGCCATAAGTTCACAAATTGTTCACCAGTCAATTATCTACCTTTATTATCATGTTTGTTTATTGGTCTAGAGAGAGATTTTAGATGGGTAACGTGTATTTGATTGAATTATATTTTAATTCAGATAAAATGACATAAAATTAAATTAAGAATTTGACTTTTTTCAAATTTAAATATGAATTTGAAAAAGTTTACAGGTGTTGTAAGTATCACCACAGATCATGTTTTGATTATTTGAACCGTTCATTTTATAGCATCATCTGTGAATATCATCCATGAATTTTTTTTTTACTATCCAATATAATTATAGCATTTTCATTTTATTGTATTTATTTTCAAAAAAATAATGATCTATTTAAAAAACATGCTTGACATCTATTTTTTTTTAAAATAAAAGCAATAAAAAAAATATGACTACCAAATCGATTTAATTTACAATCCAATCTCATGATATTAGATGGTTAAAGATTATTTTATTCTCTACTTTATAAAAATAACAAAAATCACATTTTAGATAATTATGATTTTCGTATAATTTTATAAATTTAATTATAATAAACTAATATTAGCACACTAATACAATTTAGCTACAGTATCTATTTCCAACTACAATATCAAATTTAATTACTCAGTTATATCAAATTTATAATCTGACTCAATTTAATTAGACAATTAAACATAATTTAAAGAACAATCCTTAATTATATTTATGTCTCATTTAGAAATAGACTATTTTAATAATTTTTTAACTTTTTACGAAGAGATATACAAAAAAATAAAAAAAATAATATAATAATTTATAATAATATTTTAATTTTTTAACTAAAATATATAATTAATAAACGAGACCTAAATTTCAAATAATTTCCTTAGTTGTTGACCCACCGAACCCAACATCAACAGATTCAATTTCTATTTAATGCTGACATCATTCGGTTAGTAACTAACTTTGAGCTGGTTCAGATTCCCTTAGGGTGAAACCTATTATAGCAAGCTATAAGGTAGACACATTAATGTGTGCAATTGAAAAAATTAAATGCATCCACCTAACAAAAAAATTATATATTTTATTAAATTATAATCAAGGTAGTTGAGGGATTTTTATTTTTAACATAAAATAAAATTATGATATAATTAATTTTATTTTTATATTTTTATGTAACTGCTTTTGTGGACATTTAAAAAAAAATGACATATTTATATTAATTCAAGTGTAAATTTCATGTATCAATATAGATAAAAAGTGATGTTTTTTGAAAAAATATTATTGATGGAGAATAATTTTTTTAGGGAAAATATTATTCATGGATAAGTTTTATACAGAATTTACTACTAATATGGTGATTGCATTTTTGTAATTAAAAATGTCAGTTAAATAGTCATCATGGTTGAAAATGATAAGTCACAATGCAAGCTAATTATTTTATGTACAAATTTTATTTACTTCTTTTATTTATGTATCATTACTTTACTTTTGAGCATAATTTTGAAAAGAGATTGCTTATTTATTTAAAGATAAATATAATAAAATCATGTGTCTATAATTGTTAGATCAATTTACTTTTTTAATGAATAATCTACAAACAATGGCTTAAATACAAACTGATTGAACTCATGTTCGGGTTTGTGGAGTTGATTATTAGTTCTGTTTCAATAATCCAAACTATTCATTTTATAGGGCTCTCAGTTTATATCATTCATGAAAAAAAATTAGATCAATCCAATTATAGTAATATTTTCATTTTATTACGCTTGTTTTTGAAAAAATAGAGGACAAGTGTACCGTTGAAAATAGACTACTTATTTTTTTTAGACAAATGTGATAAAATAAAAATGTTACAATTATCAGATTCATCTCATTTTTTTTTTTGATGGGTGATGCATACAAAACGCCCTATAAAATAAATGTTTCGAATTATCAAAACATGACTCATAGTGAACCTTGACAAGCCGAACATGATGGTCAAGTTTAAATTTGATTAGTTGAGGTGCATGTAAGCTGACCGGGATACCTGATCATAAAAAATTAAAATTAACATTAAAATTAAAATTAAAATTTAATTTGATTATTGCAAACAAGTTGAATTTGAGAAATTAGTTAATAAAATTGAATAATAAAATTTCTAGCCACCCTGATTTTGATATTTAAAAAATAAAATAAAATTAAGAAAGTCATTTGATGGTCAACCTATATTTTTTTTTGTTACGCATCAGATCATGCAATAGTCATTTTAGCAATTTTTATTTATTTATTTATTTATTTGGGAAAATTACGGATCAATGTAGATTTTTGAAAATTATTACAGATTTATGGAAAATTTTATAACTTTAATTATTAATTTATATAAAGTTTAACACTTATTTGTAATTTTTTTAAAAGAAAATCTACACTAAAGTGGAATTTCTCAAAATTCTTTCCCTCAACAAAAAAAAAAAAAAAAAAAAAAAAAAGGTTGGTTTTTTCGGCGGATGAGTTGACTGTTAAACTACTTCAACATTTGTAATCATAAGTTGTTTAGAAAAACAGAAAAGTACAAGGTAGAGACCATGGTGATTTTAAAGGCTGAACTCATTGGCGTGGGACCCCTCAGCCATTTCATTTTGTTTTAAGAATTTGGAGTCTTCCCATTCTTCAATTTGTCTTTGCAAATCTCAATTGACTCCCACTTTTGGAAATTCATTCAGTGATCATCATTATCATTATCATCCATTTCTTTCTCTGAAGAGTCCCACCTCACACACCATGGTTTTAGAGGTAATATGTTATAGCTCATCCTTGTTCATTTGGGTTTTTCTATTGAATGCAATTTGATTAATTGTCTCCAACTCATGTTGTTTGATTATTTGGTTTAGAATCTTAAGCGATATTTCTCTGGTTATGCTTGCCATTAAGGACCAACTCATGATCATTTGATTTTTTGTTTTTAGTTTCCAATAATTTGTGTTGGTTTTAAGATTTTGTTGCTTGATGGTTTGTGGGTATTCCTTGAATTCATTTTAATGGGATCTATGTTAAGGAAATATCATATTTAGAGGGAGAGTCAGAGAAGTTTCAAATTTGATAAGTTCCTAAAATGTGTTCTTTGGTGGTTCATGGTTTTTATTTGGATTCATTTTAAATGGAAACCCATTGAGAGAAGAATGAAGATGTCTTAATTTTAGATTTTTTTAAAAAAATTGTGAGATCATAGCTTCAATCTGCCAAGTGTTTGAGAGAGAGAGAGAGAGAGAGAGAGAGCTGGGAAGTTTTTGGATTGAATTTTGAGGGTGCTAGAATTAAACATGTTTGATAAAAAGCCATAATGAAAAGAAAAGAAAAAAAAAAGCTCTATTGTACATTTAATTTATTAACGCAGGCAAATCTTTAAAATATAGATGTCCAAATTTTTACCAAAACTATCCTATCCAAAGTGAAGAGACACCCCACCTCTAGCACTCTCATGGAAAGATCATAACTTAAAAGAAGACGAAAGAAAAAGAATGAAAATCCTCGCGAGAATCGTGGAGAGCTTGCTTTTGTTCAGTGTCTATTTAATCAAAAGATTGTAATGTTTGACTCTTTTATTTTAGGGGTTGATCCGAGTTTGATGCTATGTGCTAATAATTTTTCACCAGGACCATGAAATGCCTAATGGATGGCCACTTGGACTGGGAAACTTGAACATGAGACTTCGAGTGACAGAGAGCTTACATCCTGCTGCAACAGAACCACATCCTTTACACACACCTTCGTCCAGTTGCTCCTCATTTTCATCCTCTAACCTTGATACAGAGGTAGGTAATTCTTTTTCTTCCTTACCCCATCTGTTTCTTTACATCTCTTTCATTTTCTCCTTCACATACATCATGTGTGGATCTATAGTTACTTTAAGAAAGAATGACATTCACTTATTATTTTTTCTGCCAAGTTCAGACTATAGTTAATTCTTTTTCTTCCTTACCCCATCTGTTTCTTTACATCTCTTTCATTTTCTCCTTCACATACATCATGTGTGGATCTATAGTTACTTCAAGAAAGAATGACACTCACTTGTTATTTTTTCTGCGAAGTTCAGACTAAGCTAAGTCTCCTGCTTAAATGACTATTCCAGAACCAATTTTAATTCATAGTTTGAGAGATGCTACAGAGTTAGGCATGTGCGGATTAAAGGGTTCTTATTTTGCTCAATTTACACACATCTTTTTCATTGTAATCTAAGTACTCAACTCAGAACATGTTTTGAAATTTTGTCACACATTCTCTCATTCCAGATTACTCCTATACAACTGTCTAGATTTTTTATTTCAAATTTTGATTTTATTCCTGCCATAGACATTCAATTTTTTTTTTTTATTTCAAATGAGATTTTACTGACATTTCTACACATGCATCGCATGTGCGCATAGCCTTCTAGTTCGTATAGAGTGAACAGGTGATGAATTTGGTGTGAACACCCAATTAAAGCTGTGTAATGCTCTTTTCAATTCCAAATCATCCAACAAAAACCCTTTTTTACTGTTTTGAAAAACTTTTATTTTTTCTAACTGTCAGTAAAATTGTAAATTCACCCATTCATGCTGTAACTACTTCAGTTACATTTTGATGTATTTCACTCATGCGCAAAGTGTGTGCCACGACCTCTAGTCTATAAATTATTGGCAATAAACCATGGAGAAAACATTACAATGGCGGTGAAAATTTAAAATCCATTTCATCCTTGAATTTGCTTTGAAATGGGGCCCTGGCTGCAGGCTTAGACACCTTGACACTCACTAGTAATAGTTTGTTCTGTGTGAGACCGACCAGTCTACAGCATCTTTCTTCCAAGACCATAGCGTGTCACTGGGCCGGCTAATTGGGATTACTCCTATACAACTGATTCTCTCATCCCAGATTACTCCTATACAACTGTCTAGATTTTTTATTTCAAATTTTGATTTTATTCCTGCCATAGACATTCAATTTTTTTTTTATTTCAAATGACAGATTTTACTGACATTTCTACACATGCATCGCATGTGCGCATAGCCTTCTAGTTCGTATAGAGTGAACAGGTGATGAATTTGGTGTGAACACCCAATTAAAGCTGTGTAATGCTCTTTTCAATTCCAAATCATCCAACAAAAACCCTTTTTTACTGTTTGAAAAACTTTTATTTTTTCTGACTGTCAGTAAAATTGTAAATTCACCCATTCATGCTGTAACTACTTCAGTTACATTTTGATGTATTTCACTCATGCGCAAAGTGTGTGCCACGACCTCTAGTCTATAAATTATTGGCAATAAACCATGGAGAAAACATCACAATGGCGGTGAAAATTTAAAATCCATTTCATCCTTGATGTTACTTTGAAATGTGGCCCTGGCTGCAGGCTTAGACACCTTGACACTCACTAGTAATAGTTTGTTCTGTGTGAGATCAACCAGTCTACAGCATCTTTCTTCCAAGACCATAGCGTGTCACTGGGCCGGCTAATTGGAATTAGGTCAAGGGAAACAGGATCCGTGTACTTCCCAAATGCAAGCCGGTTTGAACAACGCGAGAGTCTATCAGAGAGAAGATCGTGCTTGGATGTCCCCGGGGAACACGGAGAAGAAATGTGTCAGGGAGTTTGTGTTCCGCTATTGGTTACCATCTTGGTGAAGATGAGCCGAAGTAGAAGCAACTCAAGGCGGTGAACTCAACAACTCGGAAAATTACATGTTTGTTCATATTTTACCAAAAGAATTGACTGTTGTATCATGTATAAGTTCTGTTGCATGCTTGTGTTTTAAATGAATGATTCAATTGTTGTTAGTTTGTATGGATTTTTACATTAAAAAATTTGATCCAAGACGACAAGTCAAAAGGTAAGTTGTTAACCTACTTCTCTAACTCATCATCTTCAATCGTTGAATATGTTAGGAATTGTGAAACCTTAGCACCGGATCTGGCGGATACGGAGTTGTAGAAGAAAAAAAAAAGGAGTCAAAAGAGTACTCAAACAAGAACACCATCAAAACATTAGACTACGTCCACAATAATAGTTGTGATTGTTTCACTTACTTGTGATTGTTTCACTATATATGTAGAAGAACGAGTTACCAGATGCAACAGAGTGACCTAATACCTAGGGTTACAATTTTTTTCTTTTGTTTTTGTTTTTGTTATTTTGTTTTTCTGCTTTTTTTTTTTCTCGATAAACTATCAATAAGTTCTAATAGTTTGACTTAATTCTCATAAAGTTCTATTAAAAATAAGTCCTAGTAAAATAGTCACTAAAAATAATTTTTTGTGATGATTTTTTGCATGCCACTAAAAACTGACAGTTAGTGATTTTTTTTTGTCACGATTTTTATAAATTGTCGCTACAACATACAATTAGTGATAAATTTCTAAGACAGTTTTCAAACTGTCACTGAAAGTTAAGAATTAGTGACTTTTTTGTAATAATTTTTTTAAACTGTCGGTAAAACTTATAATTAGTGATATTTTTTGTGACAAAATTTTCAGACTATTGCTAAAAATTAACAAGTAGTGATGTTTTTTTAATAGTATTTGATGAAAATGTCATTAATTATTATAAGACCTATTGAACAATGAGTTTACGACCTACACATAAATCTTTTTTTTTTTTTATTTTTAATTTTATTTTGGAGAGGAGGAGAGATGGAGGAAGGGGTTCCTAGGACTCAATCTCGAGTTGATCAGCATGGCTTGACCAAAGGTTAAGTGCTTCTATCACTGCGCCACTCGTATATTAGAACTTACAAATATGAGAAAAATACTAAACTAGCCTTAGGCTGTGTTGGATTATGGATTTGAATAAAAATTTAAAAAGAAAAAGGGAAATGTGAGTGAAATATAAATAAAATATAATTACATTTTACTCACATTTTTATTTTCTCTTTCAAATTTCTATTCAAATTCATAATTCAAACACAATCTTTACTGTGAGAGACACATGACTCGATATACTATTCTATCGAATAGAAACAACTCTACACTTCAATTTTTAATTTTCATTTTCATTTCTATTTTGTTTTATGAGGAATGAAAGCAATGTCTGAACAGAAACCAGCTGAACTAAAGTTTAGCTATAAATAAACAACTATACAGTGCACGGGTTGCATAACAATAGATATAAATAAACACACCTTTTTGCCTTTGCTATTCGAACCTGTGACAAAAATAAGAACATATAAACCTCTTTTGCATATAAACAAGGAGAATAAAGGAAGTCTAGATGACAATATAGAGTTAAAGCAAACCTCTGGTTAAGTTAGAGTTGTAAACTAACCGAATTTTTTATGAACAGTTTTAGCTCAATTATAGTTTAAATTTGTTTAAGCTTGACTCATTTGTTTGTTAAATGAATGTGTTCGAGCCAGATTTTTAGTCTTGTTTACTAATCAAACCAAGCTCAAGTAGACCAAAGCTCTCTTTGAATAGATTCTTCATGAAGATAAGGATAATATAAATTAATATTTGATTGATGAAACTTATCAATAATATGATCTGTGTGGGTGATTTTCCGACCACACTGCCCGCTTGGTAACCAGCTGGAGAGCACTGGCAGAATAGATGGCACCTGACTGACCTGTAATAGAAATATAAGAATCCCGCGGTGGTTTCGACCACCCGGGGGCACTCCGACGATCAAGTCAGAACTCAAGCTAATCTCATATATATAATTGAGACTCAAGTTTCTCAAATACTAGTTGAGCTTAGGCATAATTTTTTAAACTTGACTTGAGTACAACTTATTATCCTTAACCTGTTTTTTTTTTTTTTTAATTATGTTTTGATGATTAACTATTTAACGTAAAATCCACTTTCTCTGTTTTCTTGGTGAAGGAAAGGTATCATCATGATCATGGCTTCCAGGATGCCGAGAAGATTTCCGTTGATATGCTTTAATCTTGTTTTCTTTTGGAAAAACTTAAGCTATTTTGGTGCAGTTGACTTTTTCAAGGAACACAACAAATACATTTTCAGTCAATCAATGACTTTAAATGAAAAATTGAAACCTTATGTTCGTACAATAATCTAATAAATTTTGTACCTTCATAAAAAAGGTTGGCATTGTACAGTTGTTTCATGTAAGATTTTAAACTTTTTCAATCGATGAAAAAGTTTCCTATTATACAGTTGTCTCTTGAAAAATTTTGTTTGACTTTGAACAATAAAATGTCAAAAATATAATATTATATTACAAATTAAGCTTATTCCATTGTCTTTATAAAAGCATAAATGCGCTATGAAATTAACAAAAGCTTAAAAAGTTGTTTCATGTAAGATTTTAAATTTTTTCAATGGATGAAAAAGTTTCCTATTATACAGTTGTCTCTTGAAAAATTTTGTTTGACTTTGAACAATAAAATGTCAAAAATATAATATTATATTACAAATTAAGCTTATTCCATTGTCTTTATAAAAGCATAAATGCGCTATGAAATTAACAAAAGCTTAAAAAATTGAGAATTTCAGTAGGAAAATAAGTTATAGAAAATGAAGCTTTCAAGCATTGCAATGTTATTAGTGCTAGTTTCAACCCTTTTGTTCTCAATTCCATTTGCAACTTCAGACTTGGCTACGGACGCATTTGTCCAATGCCTCAAAAAAAGTTGGTGAGTCTATAAAACCAATCTCGGAAGCCATTTACATCCCTGAAAACTCTAAATTCTCGAATATTTTCTATGCATATTTTAGAAATAAGAGACTAAATACAACCAAAACCCAATATCCGGTGGCCATCGTAGCAGCCATGCATGAATCCCATGTCCAAGCAGCTGTCATTTGTACCAAGAATCATAACTATCATCTTAGAATCCGAAGTGGAGGTCATGACTATGAACGCCTTTCTTACGTATCAAATGAACCATTTGTTCTCCTTGACATGTTCGATTTTCGATCCATCAACATTGACGTCGCAACAGAAACTGCATGGGTACAGTCAGGGGCTAGTCTCGGTGAACTATATCTCAACATTTCCCAGAAAAGTAAGACTCATGCTTTTCCAGGCGGTGTCTGCCCTTCTGTTGGAGTTGGTGGGCATTTCATCGGGGCTGGGTATGGAAACTTGATGAGAAAGCATGGCTTATCTGTGGATAACATTATTGATGCACAACTAGTTGATGTTAATGGAAAAATCCTCAATAGAAAATCCATAGGAGAAGATCATTTCTGGGCTATTAGAGGTGGTGGAGCTAGCTTTGGAGTCATTCTTTCTTGGAAAATTAAATTGGTATCAATTCCTGAAGTTGTTACTTTTTTCCTAGTGAAAAAGCTCATAAAACAAGGTGCAACAAGAAGTATAACAGACCTCGTCTATCGGTGGCAACAAGTTGCAGACATACTACCACAAGACGTTTTCATAAGACTTGAAATGAGTGTTGAGAAGAATGAGAGCATTCAATTTCAATTCTTTGGTCAATACCTAGGGCAATCACATATACTTCTTTCAATAATGAATCAACAATTTCCCGAATTGGGTTTGCAACAAAAGGATTGTATCGAGTCAAGTTGGATTGAAACCACTCTTTACTGGGATAATAAACCAAAGGGAACTTCCTTGGGTAGCCTACTCTATAGGATGCCAAATCAATCATTCCCCTTTAAGGTGAAATCGGACTATGTGATAACACCTATTCCAAAAGCAGTTTTGGAAGAATTGTGGAGGAAGATGATCAAAATGGGTATGGGAATGATAATGCAATGGAACCCATATGGAGGAAGAATGAATCAGATTTATGAATCTGAAACTCCATTTCCCCATAGATCGGGATACAAATTTCTAATCCAGTACTGGTACTACACTCAAGATAACAGTAAGGTAGAGTTATTGCGAAAACTCTATGATTTCATGGCACCATATGTCTCAAAATCGCCACGCGAGGCTTTCCTGAACTATAGAGATCTTGACATTGGCACTAATCAAAATGGTGCGAATTCAAGCATTTTTGGGGCTAAATATTTCAAGGGTAATTTTGAAAGATTGGTGCGTGTGAAGACAAAAGTTGACCCTGATAATTTCTTCCGAAATGAACAAAGCATTCCGCCTCTTCCAAAATAGAGGAACATCGTATAGATACTACCTAACGGTGGCAAACGAACGGGTCAAAACGGATTTGGTGTTAAAATAACTTAATTCAAACCCTTCCATTTACTAAACTGTGGGTTGGTTTAATTCGGGTACGAGTTGGACAACCCAATTCATTTACTTTAATGAACTCATTTTTTAATAGATTCATTTTTTTTCCTTCAAAAATTCAAGTTCGAGAGAGAGAGAGAGATTTAAAAGGTGAAAACATTTGTGTTTAATATTAATTACAAATATTAAATATACTAAAATATTAGTGTCAATGTCATAATATATATGTTTTTTGATAGTGCATAATATTTTAATTCCGTTCAATGCTTTTTCTATTGTTGTACTATTATTATAAATAAATAAATAAATTGCTAACAACAACCTCACTGTTAGAATTGAAAAATGTGAATAAAATATATTAAAATATGTAATAATTGAATTAAAATATATAAAAATATTTTGAGATATATAAAATATATATTGAGATAATAAATATTGATTTTACGTGATTCTTATTAATAATTCTTAGAGTTGTCAATAATAAGAGTCATAAAAAATACATATATATACAATTTGTTGATGCGTAATTAATTGTTGAATGGTTGGTGGTTGCTTGTTTAGGAAAGTCGATTGAGCTTGAAACTTGAGCATCGCATGTTTTGTTAGTATTTTTTTGCATTCATCCATATTATGAGGTGGGTTTAATACTATTCCCTAATTATGACCCGTTTAGTAAATAAGGGAGTTTAAACTCAAAAATTGTGGGCAGGTATAGATGGATTGACGGGTTTGGATTAGCATCGCCATCTGTAAAAGCACCTAACTACTAAGAGAGTGTTTGAAATTATCTAAATAAGTATAATTTTTAATTTTTTATGAAAAAATATATAAAAGAATAGAGCGATGATATAACTCAGAAAAGATAAAAAGATAAAAAAATATATTAATATAAGGGATGCCAAATAATTCCTAAATCTAAAATAAATAATAAATAAAAAGGAAAAAATTGACATACACTTAATCACATCATAATTTTAATTTTTTTTTAAATGCACATTTCAACATAATGAACTTAAATTTAATATTTTTAAATTGTGATTTAAATTCTAGCCGCAGCCAAAACAGAATATATATGCTCGTTTGGCAAGCCAAATTTTGGGGTAAAAAGGCTATTTTAATCATAAAAAGATAAAATAAGCTAAATGGTTAATAAGACAAAATATCACATCTAAATCATAATCATTTTATTTTTTTTTTTACAAAAGTCAAAAAAATCAAAAAATCTATCTCATACGAGGCTTTTTAGCCACAGATTAAAATAGCGAAAAAACTAAAGAGTTAACCCACATCTCAAACAAACCATCTATTTACTATGGCGATTAAATTTGGTATCCAAATTTCAAAAATGAACTTGCCTTCTTTCTAATTCTTCTTTTTCTATTACCACTTTTATTTTAATAATTTAAACGTTCTTTTTTATTATAAATTATTTATAATAAATAAAAAATTATAACTGAATAATTTTATTATATATATATAATTTTTTAAAAATAAAATATAAGACTGCACTCACCACCCACCGTCACTACTTTCTACCACCGTCTTCCGCCGCCACTTACCACCACTTGCCATTTCTCATTCTTTTTTATATTTTTAAATTTTTTTAAACATTTTGTCAATTACCAAACGCGTTTGTAGTTTATATTTTTTTTAAAATAAACAAAAACTAAACAAAAATCAATTTATAAAATCTTTATAAATATAAACTGAAAGCATAAGTGCTACCAAACAGACCCGCAGAGTCCACGTCTAAATAATCCAAATTTACGAGAACCTTGTGGAGGTCTTGTGGGTGGGTTTGTGGGTGGGTCTCAAGTACCCACCCAAAGCCCCCAAACTCTTCCAAAACCCCGCCCCCCCAGCTCTGAAAGACCCACAACCACCAATGTCCGCCGCAGCCACCAGGTCCGTCTTCCGCTCCACGTCCGCCGCCCGAAGCGCGGGGGCGAGACTTGCCGGCGGAGCTAGCCCAAGGCGGCGAGGTCCCCCTTTCGCATAACGACGCAGAAACCACTCTCTTCTCGCATTTTCAGGTTTCTCTATCTATCAATTTCAAATCTTGCATATACTATATCTATCTATCTATCTATATATATATATATGATAATTGAAGAAAAAAAACAATTAATTGTTGAATTGAATCGATCAAATGTCGTATTTATTGAATATAGAGATGAGGTTCGTCTGCGTCGATTCGTTGCTTCCGTTTCACACTGCCCCTGCCTCTGCATTGCCCACTTCAATGCTCTCCGCCACTCCTCGCTGCTACGGTTGGACTCCTGAAGGTATTTTTTTTCACCTTGTTTATGTATGTATGTGTTTAGATGTATTAGCTTTGATTGCATTGCACAATATTCACTGATTTCGCCGATGACGTTTTCGTGATTTATTTTAATTATTAGAATTTGGGACAAATTATACTAATAGTCCACATAGTTTAGAATTTGTGTCACTTTGATTTTTAATTTTTTAATTGTAATATACTTGACTCTAAATTTTGAATCTTGTTTTAAATAAGGACAATTGAAGATATCATTAAATTTTTAAGGGGTAAAATCGTTAATTTGATAAAATATAAACTAATTTAACAAAAATAAATATCAAACAAATATTTTTGAATGTTTAAAGATTAGTTTTATCCACTAAAAATAAAATTATATAAAATTGATAAATCTTTTAGACATTTTTTTTTTACCAAATTAATTTTTATTATGTGTTTGAATGATAATCATGTAAAATTAATTTTTAAAAATTAATCATGTAATTTTTATTAATGTTTATCAATTTTATATAATTTTATCATTGGTGAATAAAAATATTTTTTAAAAAATTAAAAATATTTTTTTGACATTTATTTTTGTCAAATTAGTTTATATTTTATTAAATTAACGATTTTATCCTTGAAATTAAACAATGGTATCTTCAATTATCCTTATTTAAAATAAAATTTAAAATTCATGATCAAATGTGTCACAATTAAAAAATCAAAAACTAAAATAATATGAGTTCGAAACTATAAAGCCTGTTAGCGGAGTTTTCCCTAAAATTTTTATCTGATTGGGTTTGGTTTGTATACGAACTACGGTGATCTTGCTTTTGCTTTCTTTTCTTTTTATGAGTTAATTTGTATCTGATAGATAGGTAGATTAGGTGGAAAGGTTCTATGAAATTGAGCAGTTTATAGACCACATTTGAAGAAAGTTTAAGAGGCATGTACACCCAAGTACAAAGAATTTTTGTTTAATCCTATCATAGCTTCATTTACTTTCTCATTTGAATAGCCTAATACTCGTAGAAATTTGAAGACTAACTGTGTGGGTAATTTTCTTACCACACTGCCTGTCTAGTAATTAGTTGGAGAGCACTGGCAGAATAGATAGCTTTAGTAAACCTGTAACAGAAAGAAAAAGGCTCCGGCGGTGGTTCTTCCACTCGGGGGCACTCCGACGATCAAGTCAATATATCTCTCAAAGATAATCAAGTGTTCAACTCACAAGCTTGAGTATAAAACTGCGTACCTTAGACTCATGGGGGTGCCTTTTTTTATAGTTTACTCAATTCAAGTCCTACTAGAAGCCTGACTTCGATGGACTCCAATTTAATACTTACTTTGGACTCTTTAAGAGATAAAGATAAACTCCCTAAGAGCTTTATCCTTATCTTGGCTAAGTCTCCTCTTTGTCTTAGGACTCTTGTCCCTTATCCGCTTATCTCGGATTCCGATATCTTTGGAGATAACCTCGGCAACTCCGAGATCACCTCGGCGTAACTACCACGACACGTGGCACTGCGGCTGACACGTCGGCGTCACCATGCCACGTGTTGGTATCCAAAAAATATATCCCCACAGTTCTATTACCTCGGCATTTTGAGGTTATAAAACCTATATCGATATATTTTTTCTGCATAGTGGCTCAAAAACTGTTTGGCCGAGATAATTCATTTTCAAGCCGATGTGTTCTCTTCGGAGAACAAGAATTCAAATGAACTCCACCGCGTGCATGAGCTGTCATGCACATCTAACTGTTCCTTTCGCGTGCTTTGTCTTCATTGGCCCGTGTCTGTGACGCGCTTGAAAGCTGTCTTTCACTCGTCTGCGCCGTCTGACGTGTGCGTTGCTCCAGGCGTAATAAATGCCCTGCTTTTGCCGCCGTTTCAAGTTTTTTTTTTATAAAACTTTTCTTTCCCTCTTCCTTTCTCCACTTTTTGCATTCTGATTTCTTGCTTTTTCTCTCTCTAAAAGCTCTAGCATTCTTCGAATCTGCCATTGCTCTAAGCCCCAAATTCTGCGACCGTCTTTATTCTTCCATTCCCGCGAAGCTTTTGCCATTGTCACAACTGTCGTCTGATCTCGGCGAATATCGCTCCGGCTTCATTTTATCCGGTAAGCAACTGGCCCCCTTACCTTCTTTTTCTAATTCTTGATTGTTTCTAAAGTTTCTTGTTATTACTGTTCTTCTTAGGCATTATTTGTGAATCATTCACCTGAATGCGTCTTATTTCATGATTTTTCACATGCCATGAACACTTTGCACTGTTTCACCACTGTTCTTGGCCCTTAACCCTTTGTATTCTTCGTGTTCTTGATAGCCCATCCCTGTTCTTGTTTCTGAAACTTCGCTTTTGTTCTCTGTTTTTTGTGTCTTTACCAGATCTGTGCCCTCGATCTTCGTCTTAATAGTTTTAGGTTTGGGATTTGTCTGTAGAACCTTCAATCTTTAGGAAAAACTGAAACAAACCTTACCAGTCCTTACCCAGGTTTGAAACCGAGGTTCTAGCAACCCTTCTGAAACACCTATCTTTTGAAACACAGCCTTCTTTGTTTAGGCCGACGTAATGGGTATGTGGAGACACCGGGTAAACACCCCAACTAAACTTGAATTTTTTAGGTAAGAATTCTCCATTCCTGCCGATGTCCACCTGAGGCTGGCTGAAGATAATGACTCTATCATGCCCACGGATAATTCAATGCCCTTTCCTATAGTAGCTTTTACTGAGTGCGGACTCCGGCTTCCACTCAATCCCCTTTTTCGTGAGGTTCTCCACTTCTATAAGTTGAACCCCATACAATTTACCATCAACTCCTATCGAGTGATTAATGGTATCATAGCCCTAATCAGGCAGGAAAATGTTAGGATCACCCTTGTCGATATACAATATTGTTATACCATGTGCCCCCTTAACCTGAAGGAAAGAGGTTACGTCTACTACCTCAAGCCGAGGTCTACTGAATTCAAAATTGTAGCCGACCTCCCGGACTCCAACAAGGGAGCTGGGGATGACTTTGTCATTGCTTCGGGAAATTGGGAATTTGGTCCAGACGAGGCTGTTCACCTCTACCCTCTTCCTCGAACAGTTAAAGAGGGCAAGGGTAAGAGCCCAGCATCAATACTTATGTAATGACCCCAAAACATGTGTCATATATATCAGTAATTAATTATGTGTTTATGTGAATTAATTGAAGAATATCTGTTTGAATTAGAAGAATATCTGTTGAGATGAGAACTTTGGGGCTGAAATTGATGACCGTAATGGGTTTAGAAAACGAAATTGAGCACGTCTATGTGATATCGGGAATTTTTAGAACCATTTGGGAAAATAAATTGAAGACTGAATTTCGTCTGATTCGTTAGTCTTGTTTGGCTTAAGATTATGGCATATATATATATATATATATAGATAAGGATGTTGACCTATGTTTGACTCAAAAACAAAAGAGAAGAAAAATCTGGAAAGGAGAGAGAGAGAGAGAGAGAGAGAATTCGTGAGAAAGGGAAAGAAGATGAGGAAAAAGAGGATCAAGCTAAATCTTCTACAATTAAGTGATTAAGGTAAGAATTCCTCTCTAATTTCTTGAAATAAGGTTGATTAATGCATGACCTCATGGTAAATAAGTGGATTGAAGAAGAAATATGTTTAATTTGAGCATGTATGGCATAAATTGATGATTTATGTTTATATTTGACATTTTTGAGGAAGAACCTCCATGGATGTAAGAAATGAAGCTTGTATGTACATGTTCATGGTTTCCTATTTTAATTCAAGGTTTGATCTTGTAAAGGATTCATGTGGATTGTTTTAAGAGATTTGATGTTTAATTCAAGTTGTATTTCAAGTGTTTTGGGACTTGGAGTTCATAAATGTTGAAGTGGTTTTGCAAAAAGGAAAGGTTAAAACTTTGGAAGAGCTTAGAATTTCAGATTTTCGCGCAGTCCGCTCGAGCGGAGGGATTCCCGCTCGAGCGTGAAAATCGACCTCCCAGCAGTTTTGGAAAATTGTGTAGTCCGCTCGAGCGGACAAAGTGGCGCTCGAGCGAGGGACTTATTTTCAGGAAAATTTTGAAGGTTGTATTCAGTTCATATATGGCATGAATTACTTGATTTTATCACGCATGAACATGAAATGTAATAAGGGAAGAATAGTATGGCATGAATTAAGTGATTTAATGATAATGTGTATTGAAGAAATGTGTTATAATGTTGATAAGTGCAGGTCAAGAGGCGAAGACTGTGCAACCGGTTTTGGAAACCCACTGTGAGTAACATTTCTGTAAAGATATGTTAGTATGATCTATGTTTAAAAGTGCTACATTATGCTATGGTTTTGAATGATAAATGTTTTCTGTAAACGAATGTCCAGTTTGCGAATCTAGTATGGCATCCATAGATAGTCCTAAGTGGACCAGTTTACGAGATCTCGGTATGTGTTTAATCGGTGTCCGGGACCGGTTACTCTAGTCGTTGGACAACAAATGTTATGTTCTATGGAGTATGCCATTATGTATGTTCTAATATGAGATGATTATGTTTATGAATGATTTATTTTATGGATATATGAAATGTGGAATTCGTTCACTACCCCTTTACTTTAATGTTACTTGCTGAGCTTTAGCTCATTGTTTGTATATATGTATTTATAAGTGAGCACTCTGGGAGTCAAGCCTAGGCGGAGTCCGAGCCGAGCCGCCGTTTTGAAGCCTACCCGGTGTTTTGGAGCCTCCGAGTTGGGGCTAGGCCTGAAAGGCCGTTAGGAAGCTTGGTTTTGGTTCTACATGTGGCGTGAGCCTGTGTTTTGTACATGAATTTTGATTATATGTGATGTAATGTAGTGGGTAAATTAACATTTTTGGCACGTAATGTCTGTTCATATAAATGCACAGCTCTTTAGACTATTAGTGTTTTGTTTTCGCTTCCGCAAGCCCCATTTATGTATGTTTTGTACAGAAAGGCCTGTGGTAATCTAGGATTACTGGCCGGTTACGATGCCAACCTTCTCGGGACGGGTTTGGGTCGTGACAACTTAGTTATTTCTTTTCCAAGTCTTCAAAACTTTGTCTGTTTCTAATGTCTGTTTGTTTGTCCTGTAGATCTTCATCAACCACCAAAAAACTTTCGCCAATCGTACTTCCCAGGAAAAAATTTAAAGAAGCTCCTTGATCTTCCAATCCACAAGCGCAAGGCTCCCCTGTTACTGAATTTTATTCCAACATACAAATCCACACTACCCGACGTCCCAAAAAGGAAGAAAAAGAGTCTTTCTCCACCTTCTGCCACAACTCCTCCCATTGCTTCCACATCACGAGCAGACGAAGGATCCACTTCTGACCCCGTCGATCTGCCATCTACTTCAGCCCCATACTTAGTCCCAATACCAGAAAGAAAACGTCGGCGTCGACTTGTCAAGACTGCTGAGATGGGTCGCCCGAAGCCTATTGCTGTAGATCTTTTAGCCGACTTACCTGCCGATGTTGATGCTGTTCCAGCTCAATCCATGCCCCCACCAAAGCCCAAAAGAATCAAAAAGGCACAACCCAAGGCCAAAGCCACTGAGGTTGAGGCCGAGGATGCTCTGCCCATCTCTCAATTGGCCAAGAATAGAAAGAGTACCTCTACTTCTGCCAAGAGGTCTGCTGAGGCCCAACCATCAGGATCCACTCAATCAAAGAAGCGGAGGTCATCGTCTGCGACGACCTCGGGTTCCAAGAAACCCGATGTCCCCTGGGCCCCAAAGTTGACTTTGGAGGATAAGCCAATTATGTCAACTGAGAGTGCCGACGACATTAATGTCGGTGTCGCCCTCAGTACTGCTCTTCTTCTTCCAAGCGATCTGGAGCGAAATGCTGGGTACAGCGAGTATGAAAACTACGTGCTAATGCTTCAGCACTCCGTTCAAGTAAGTGTTTCCTGTTTTGACTTTTCTTTCTGCTTCATACTTAGAAGATTTTCTAACACTTCTATTTTCTTTCAGGCCATCCAGTACGCCCATTCGTTCTCAATGCAATCTTTTGAAAATCGGCAAAGATTGGCCGACATGAAGAGGGAGGTTTCTGCCCTCAAAAAAGAGAACAAAGCTATTCTGACAAATATGAAGAAGCTGGAAGATCAGGCCGAGGCTGCTACTAAGGCCAGGCCGAGGCTGCTACTAAGGCCCAACAGATGGCCGAAGAAAAAGCGGAGTCTGCTGAAGCCATCAAAAAAGTTGCCGAGGCCGAGAAGAAAGATGCCGAGGTAAAAAAGGCTCAAGCCGAAAAAGAGCTCGAGCAGGCCTTGGCCACTAAAAACGCCGAAATTACTGAAGCCGATGAAAAAGCTTACGCCCAAGGAATGGCCGATGTTGCTGAGGACTACAAACTGCAAGTTAGGCAGGCATGCAACAGGGGCTTTTCCCTTGGTTGGATGTCCTTGGCCAAAAAGCTCAATGTTCTTGAAGATTCTCCTCTGCACAAGGCTGAAGCTATTCCTCTCCCATTCCCTCCTCCTGCTCCATCTTCAAGTCAAGCTGAAGATGAGGCAGAATCTGAGGCTGAGGATGAAGATAATAATGAAGATGAGGCCTTGGTGAGGAAATCCAAGGATGCTACTGAGGCCAAGTCCCCTCCTTCAACTGAGCAAGTCATGGATTTAACTTTGGATGAAGAGGGTGATGAGGTTGGGGAGGCGCCTAGGGAAGCTGTTACAGGGATATTATCATCCGACCTCCTTTTAGCTGAAAGAAGTCTTGACAAAACGCTTGTAGAGATTGATGCCGAGCTTGAAGCAGAAAAGATTGCCGAGGAGGTTCCACCAGAATCTTCCAAGGTCCCAGCGCCTCCAGCTGTTAATGCTGAAGAATCCTGATTTGAATGTCTTTATTTCCTTGCCTTTTTTATACTCTGTTTTGTTTTCTGAACAATGTAAACTTCCTTTTATGGCCGATGTGCCTTCCTTTGTATATAACTGCAATTGTTTTTTTTTATGGATGCTTCAATCTTTTAATTTCTCTTTGATTTGCTTCTGCATGGTTGTATGCCTTCTATATTTTGCCACCTTTGTGCAATCTTCTCGGGGTTACGTACTTCGGGTACAACAACATCAAACTTTATTTCGGCAAGATACAGACCTGAAAACTCTTGATAAATTCCAACAAGTGTTTAACGTATACTATTCGATATTAACTCTGTAAGTTTCTTCTCGAGTTTCAACAAGTATGTAAACAGTGATCTCGGTTTAACCTACTTGTAAATTGCTACAAATTTCAACAAGTGTTAACATATACGGTAAACTGTTCTCAAGTTATAACAAGTGTTAAATAATGGTCTACTTGTAAATTGCTGCAAATTTCAACAAGTGTTTGAACAATATACTTAGCTTTTACTTCAACCTGTAAATTGCTGTAAATTTCGCCGGATGATCACATGTCGGCTTAACATTATCTTGTAAATTGCTACAAATTTCAACAAGTGTTAAGCATCTTCTTTGGTTGGATCAACCTGTTGATTGCTATAAGTTGCAAACTATAACCTCGGCTTCACTTCGACTTGTAAATTGTTGCAAATTTCAACAAGTGAAGAGAAACAGTAATCTCGGCTTATCTTCAACTTGTAAATTGCTACAAATTTCAACAAGTGAAGATAAGGAATCAGCTTAACTCCAACTTGTAAATTGCTACAAATTTCAACAAGCGAAGATAAGGAATCAACTTGACTCCAACTTGTAAATTGCTACAAATTTCAACAAGTGAAAACAAGGAATCAGCTTGGCTTAACTTCGGCTAAGCATCATCTCGGTTTAATTTCAGTATAAACATTATCTTGGTTTAACCAACTTGTAAATTGCTACAAATTTCAACAAGTGGTAAACGCATTCTTCTTTTTCCTGCCCCCAATGTGAACCTGAGTTCTACTTGGGTTCTCATTATTCATGTCTCCAAAAACATCAGTATGTAATTTTATCAGTCATATGTGTTGAAAGAATTCTTGAAAAAACTTTATTAAAGACATCGGCAACAAATACTGCACATCTAATGATATAAAAATTTCAAATTACAAGTGTTCCAAGGTCTTGGCAGTGCTTTGCCCTCGTTATCTTCAAGCCGATAGGCTCCATTGCCTAATACCGAAGTAATTCTGTAGGGTCCTTCCCAGTTTAGGCCAAGCTTGCCCTCTCTGGGATCTTTTTTGTTGCCGACGACTTTTCTCAAGACTAGGTCGACGACTTGAAAATATCTTGGATTGACCTTTTTGTTGTAAGTTCTAGCAAGTTGCTGCTGGTATACTGCTAGCTGAATTACAGCCTTTTCCCTTCGTTCTTCCAAAAGTTCCAGATCTCGGGCTAAGAGTATGTCGTTAGTGCCATTCTCTACTCCTTGGATCTTGATCCCTGGGATGCCGATCTCCAATGGGATGACAGCTTCTGTACCATAAGCCTTGGCAAAGGGGGATTCCCCAGTTGATCTTCTCGGCGTAGTCCGATATGCCCAAAGCACATTGGGCAATTCGTCTACTCACTTTCCTTTTGCTGCCTGTAGCCTCTTCTTTATTCCATCCAGAATTACTTTGTTGGATGCTTCTGCTTGCCCATTACTTTGGGAAAAACTTGGTGTTGAAAAGTAATTCTTGATCTTGAATTTCGCACAAAAGTTCTTGATGAGTTTGCTGTCAAACTGTGTTCCGTTGTCGGCAATTATTGCTCTTGGAATCCCAAATCTGGTGATGATGTTTCTCCATATAAAATTCTTGACGTCCACATCTCGGATTTTGGCAAGAGATTCTGCCTCTATCCATTTTGTAAAGTAATCTGTTGCCACCAGTAAGTATTTTCTCTGCCCAGTTGCCTGGGGAAGTTGCCCGATAAGATCCATGCCCCATTGGGCAAACAGCCAAGGGCTGGATACTGGGTTCAGGTCAGCAACTGGCTGATGTATTAAAGGTGCAAACCTTTGGCATTGTTCACACTTCTTCACGTAGGCTTCAGCATCCTTTTGCATGTAGGGCCACCAATACCCCTGGGTAATGACCCTGTGGGCTAATGATCTGCCCCCTAGCATGGCTTCCACAAATTCCTTCATGAATTTCATATAGGAAATCTTCAACCTGCAAAGGGTGTACGCACCTTAAAAGGGGTCCAGTGAAGGATCTTCTGTAAAGATGTCCATCTTCTGTCAGACAGAATCTTGCAGATTTCAATCTGACTTTGTGTGCCTCCTTACGATCTTCTGGCAACTTTCCTTCTTTCAGGAATGCAACAATTGCATCCATCCAGCTTGGCCCCATGTCCACACACATTGCTTGTTGCTCTGTGCTCTCTGGTTCTATGCTCGGGCCCGACATATAGTCGATCATAATTGTTCTTGTTTTTCCAGTCTGTATTGAACTTGCCAGGTAAGCCAACGCGTCGGCGTGGGTGTTGTCATCTTGGCTGACTTGCAGTAGTCGACAGTTCTGAAATAGGGCTGCCAATCTGATGACCTCTTTTGCATATGTCGACATCCTTTCGTCCCTGGCTACAAATTCTTCTGTTGACTGGTTAACAATAAGTTGTGAATCACAAAAAACAATTACCTCATCTGCTTCTGCTGCTGCTGCCAGTTTTAGCCCTGCAATTAATGCTTCGTACTCCGCTTCATTGTTTGAGGCCTTGAACCCCAAACGGATGGACTGTTATATTATTTCTCCATCTGGAGATATCAACAGTACTCCTACCCCCGCTCATTGACGGTTTGAACTTCTATCGACGAACAGTCTGAATGAATTGCCGATGTAGATGCTGCAGGGTCTGAGTTTTTCCTTCCTTTGCTCTTTTGCCTTTGGCTGGGCTTCTCCTTGCTTGCTGGGATACTGCTCATCTCGGCTCAACGGAGCCCGATGTTCGATGGTTTCAGGTGTGAATTCTGCCACGAAGTCGGCCAAAACTTGGCCCTTTATTGCTGTTCTCGGCCTGAACTCCAGGTCATACTGGCCCAGGGCCACTGCCCATCTTGCTATCCTTCCTGTTAAGTCTCCTTGTTGCAACAAGGATTTCAGTGGGTGCTCTGTTAGGACCACAATCTTGTGTGCCTGAAAATAATGGTTCAACTTCTTTGAAGCCATTACTAAGGCCAGCATTAATTTCTCCAGTGGTAGATACCTTGTTTCTGCGCTGGCCAAGGTTTTGCTTACATAGTAAACCGCCTTTTACTCCCCTTTTTCTTCTCGGATTAGTACTGCACTTACTGCATGTTCTGAGACTGCCAAGTACAAAAACAGTTCTTCCCCTGGTTCTGGATTGGAAAGAACCGGAGTTGTGGTCAAGTACTTCTTTAGGCCGGTTAGAGCGGCTTCGCATTCTTCTGTCCACAGAAAGTCTGTGGCTTTTTTCACCAAGTTGAAGAAGGGTCTGCATTTATCTGAGCTTCTGCTGATGAATCTGTTTAGGGCTGCGGCCCTTCTAGTAAGCATCTGAACCTGTTTTGTCGACGTCGGGCTCTGCAGCTCTAGGATGGCCTTGATTTGGTCTGGGCTAGCCTCAATGCCCTTTCTCGTTACCAGATACCCTAAAAACTTGCTTGATCCAACTCCAAACGCGCACTTTGATGCGTTGAGTCGGAGCCGGTATGTTTTGAGTATATCAAAAACCTCTTTTAGGTCGGCAAGATGACCCTTAGATTCCTTGGTCTTCACGACCATGTCATCGATGTAGACTTCTACCGTTTTGCCAATCAGGTGCTTGAACATCTTTGTTACTAACATTTGGTAAGTTGCTCCTGCGTTTTTCAACCCAAAAGGCATTACCTTGTAACAATACAAGCCTTTAGGGGTGATGAACGCAGTCTTCTCCTCGTCTGGAGGGTACATGGCAATCTGGTGGTACCCCCTGTATGCATCTAGAAAACTCATCCTTTCATGCCCTGAAGTTGCATCTACTAGCTGGTCAATCTTGGGCAGAGGAAAGCTGTCTTTGGGACAGGCTTTGTTGAGGCTGGTAAAGTCTACACAGACCCTCCATTTACCGTTCTTCTTTTTCACTACTACTGTGTTGGAGAGCCATGTCGGATAGTAAACTTCTCGGATGGCCCTGGCTTCCAGAAGTTTGTCTACTTCTTCTTCTACTGCTTCGACGTGCATCAACGTCGGCCTTCTGGCTCGTTGAATCACAGGTTTTGCCGACCTGTCGACATTCAGTCTGTGGCAAGTGACCTCGGGGTCAATGCCAGACATCTCATAAGGTGTCCAGGCGAACACCTCAATGTTGGCCCTCAAAAAATCTTCCAGTTCTCTTTCCTCTTCTTCGGCTAAGCCTGAACCGAGAAGAAAGAAACGCTCTTCGTCGCCCTCCTGGACTAGGATTTTCTTTAGTGTCTCTTCACTCTTTTCGGTTGGCTCCTTGCCGACATCATTTAGGACCTCCATGTCCTCGTCTTCAATTTCTGCCTCTTTTGACTCTCGAATGTTGCAAGTGGACTTCGTTGCTGCCATGGAGCAACTTTTTGCCTGCAGTTGATCTCCTCTGACTTCTTCAATTCCATGTTCTGTGGGGAACCGAAGTAGTTGATGCAATGTTAAGGGAACTGCCCCCATTGCGTGCAACCATGGTCTTCCCAAGATGATGTTATATGGTGAGGGTGTGTCAATCACCATAAATTCTGTTTTGATCTTCTTAGTACCAGCTTGTACTTCCACGCTTGCTGCGCCAAGTGGCCATGTCGGCGTTCCATTGAAGCCGACCATAGGGTTGCTGGATTGTTCCAGGTCGTCAGGATGAAGGCCCAATTCCTTGTAACATCTGACGTACATGATGTCACAAGAGCTGCCTTGATCTATTAGGATGCGTTTTACTTGGCATTCCCCAACCTGGAGGGATACTACCAAGGCGTCATTATG